TCTCTCTCTCTCTCTCTCTCTCTCTCTCTCTCTCTCTCTCTCTCTCTCTCTCTCTCTCTCTCTCTGTGTGTTTGTCTTTGCATACGCGTCTCCGCGCAGATCGCTCGGTCGTTCCGTCCGTCGCGCTCCGTACAAGGAAGAGATCCCGACGATCAAATGATATGAGAGAGGAACAAAGTAAACATAGCACATTATGAAGAAAGACAAACAGAAGACACGTTCTCCTCACCTGAAGCGGTCGCCATGGTTGCCTGTTCTTCAAGACCTCACTCAACGAGATAAACCCCTCAATCCGCCCGAATAAGCGCAAGAAGGGATGCGCAAAGAACGTTCCGCTGCTTGGGCACGCTCTCCTAGTCTCCCTCCCTCTCCTAGTCCTCCCTCCCCTTCCTACAGACGAACGAAGTTGCAGTTAAGGGCGCAAGCAAAGAATCCCTCCCTCCCTCCCTCTCTTCACACGTGTGCTGTTCTCTTCCTACGTGCGCTGCGCGCCGAGTCCGACAGATCCGAGCGCTGTGCGGATGACGTGGCTGACACGACGATGGGTGGCACTTTCGCTAGCTGCCACGAACGCAGACCGCTCCTCCCCTTCTTCGCCGCGCGCGAATAGCGCGCAGAAGACTTTCACAATGCGCGCCGAGCGGACACTCCCGCCGACTTCCGCTCGCGATGCCACGCGCGGCAAACCACGTGGACTCGCGAAAATACCGTTCCTGCTCTTCCCCCCCCCGAATGACACGCACAGAACTTTCACACCGCCCGCCCGCCACGTGGATAGCCCCGCCGATTGCCGCTCGCGACGCTGCGCGGAAAGTACATACCGCGCAATTCGACTCGCGCCCGCGCGATCGCAGCAGCCGAAGGAATCTTTGTTCCTCCTCCTTTCGCTCCCTCCCTCCCCCGGGGCTAGGTCCCCCTTAGACGAATTAAGCGATATTGACCGTAGATAGCAAAGATCAACGGCCAGAATCTCTTAATCCGTGCAAGTGGGACCTTGCCCCGGACCACGTCACTGCCGTCACAAGGCGCGGACGAGTGGCCCGCTTACACGAATTACGCGATATTGACCGTAGATAACAAAGATCAACGGGCAGAATCTCTTATTCCGTGCAAGTGGCACCTTGCCCCGGTAGGACGAGGCTCGGGGGGCGGACGGACCTGTCACTACAGCCACAAGGCACGTACGGCGGGTGGGCTTGGTGCAGGCTCGGCGCGGGGCGGGTCAGGTTGGCTTGGGCGCGTGGGGACGCGCCGCAAGCAGCGGGGCTGACGGATGAACGCGTGGGGTCAGGGGTTCCCTTCTTCTTTCTTTGTTTTTGTGTTTTGTTTTTGGGAAATTTTTCGAAATGCACCTGAAGCTTGCGTTGATTTGTGATTTGCCCCTCCGACGGCCGACTTACCCTGATTTGCCCCTCTGACAGTGATTCAAGTTTCCAAAAAATCCCTGGCGTCGTTTGGGCCTGAGGCATTTTCAATATGCCCCTACTGGTACCGGTGCCAAATTCCAATTTGCCCCTACCGGATAGCGGATAGCCATTCAGTACACGCAGCAAGAATTTTCACATGCCCCTACCGGTACCGTGCACCTTTTCGGTATGCCGTTCTGCCCGTTGCTGGAAGTTGCGGCTGTTCCCCTGGCCCTGGGAGGGGTGCAGCCGGGG